GTCGACGTAGAGCCTAAATCTGTCCTGTTGTTGTGAATATATTGTCTTGTAACTGTTGGAACCTTAACAACACTGTTTTTCATTGTTGCACAACACTTGCAACTATTGTACTAATAATACTTATACACTGTTAACACAATACCGTGTTGCAATTCTTGCATTATCAACACATTGTTAACATAATGTGTTGTAATGGTAAAACAACACTGTATTGTAACCACTATACTTTTAACATAAAATAGTGTGTTGTTCTGTGAACACAACACAATGTGTTGTAGTGTTGCCAAAATAAACATTGTACTGCAAACGTTGTACTGCGGCCACAACAGTGTGTTGTAGTATTAAGAGAGTTGAAGTGGTAACAGAATGCTGCAGTAGTAACACTACTGTAATGGTAACACAGTGTTGTAGTGGTAACAGTGTTGTAGTGGTAACAGTGATACACCATTCCACTTCCTCAAGTCCCGTATTTTCTGAGTCATCAAGTCATTTAAAGGGTTCCAGCTTCATCTTTTCATCCGTTCCTGTGTGCGTACACGGGAAAGGGAGTTTGTGTCAGAGTGCATGCGGGCATGTCTGAAGTGTGTGTGTGTGCGTGTGTGTGTGTGTGTGTGTGTGTGTGTGTGTGTGTGTGTGTGTGTGTGTGGAAAATAATAATAATTAACGGTTTATTGAAATTTTATCCGAAGGCTGAAAATATACATTGGACATAAATGACTTATTACATACATTGGTGGTTTAACAAAAGCCTCATTAGAGAAAGGTACATGAACAGTATGAACATACAGATTAATGTAGGGTTGAACAGCAAACAGGTAGTAACCCTCCCAGATGGTGTTAGGAGGAACTCACGTGGTAGTAGTCCCTCAGATGTTGTTATGAGGGACCTGTGTGTGTAGTAATTCCTCGCAGATGGTGTTATGAGGGCCCCACGTGGTAGTAATTCCTCACAGATGGTGTTATGAGGACTACGTGGTGTAGTAATTACCCTACAGATGGTGTTATGAGGGGCCTGATGTGTGTAATTTCACAGATGGTGTTATGAGGGACTACGTGGTGTAGTATTCCTCAGATGTGGTGTGATGAGGACTTGACGTGTAGTAATTCCCTCACATGTGTGTGTGTGTGTGTGTGTGTGTGTGTGTGTGTGTGTGTGTGTGTGTGTGTGTGTGTGTGTGTGTGTGTGTTGTGTGTGTGTGTGTGTGTGTGTGTGTGTGTGTGTGTGTGTGTGAGAGCAGGAACAGTGAGCGGGAGCTCACCAAGGTTACTGTTATATAAGGACACAGCACCTGTCCCAGCCACCTGGCCACCGACATTCAATGAGGAGGAGAAGAGGAGGAGGAAGGAGGGAGGCGAGGCTGAAGGGAGAAGGAAACAGAGGCAGCAAAGGGGGGGTGGAGGAAGGAGGGCAGAAGGCACGAGGGAGGAAGGACTGGGAGGTGGGAGTGAGGAAAGAAAGAGAGAGAGAAGGGGAGGTCAACATGGGTTGGGGGACATCACAAGATGATTAGCAGGGTGAGGAGAAGGAGCAAAGGAAGAGGAAGAAGAGGGATGAGGGAGCAGGAAGAGGAACAGTGATGAAGGGAGAAGAAAGGAAAAGCAGGGAGAGAGAGAGAGGGAGGAAGGAGAAAGTGGGAGGAGGAAGAGAAAGGAGGAGGAGGAAGAGAAAGGGAGGAGGAGGAGAGAAGGGAGGAGGAGGAAAGAGAAAGGAGGAGGAAAGCGAAAGGAGGAGGAAAGAAAAGGGAGGAAAGAAGAAAGGGAGGAGGAGGAAGAGAAAGGAGGAGGAAGAAGAGGAGGGAGGAGGAAAGAGAAAGAGGAGGAGGAGGAAGAAAGGAGCAGGAGGAAGGGAAAGGGAGGAGGAGGAAAAAGAAGAGGAGGGAGAAAGATGAAAACGAAAATGATAACAGACAACTCAAGAGACAAATAATTTTTCAGTGACACTCATGGGTTCACTGCTATCACCACCACCATCCATTACCCTACTTTCCTACCCTCCCACCTACTTTCCTACCTCACCCACTACTTTCCTACCTCATCCCCTACCTATCCTCACCCCTACTTTCCCACACATCCCCCTAACTCCTCACACTTTCCCCTACCCTCCCCCGCCTCTACCCTCCCCCCCTCTTTCCTACCCTCACCCACCTTTCCTACCCCTCACCCACCTACTTACCTCCTTTCTTTCCTTCCTCATCCCCCTACTCTACCCTCCCCCCTTTCCCTACCCCTCACCCCTTCCTACCCTCACCCACCTACCCTCACCCCCTTTCCCTACCCTCCCCACTCCTACCCTCCCTCTTTCCTCCCCCTTTCCTTTCTCCCCACCCCCTACACCTTCCTTTCCCTACCTCACCCTACTTTCCTACCCTCATCCCCTACTTTTCTTACCCTCACCCCCCTACTTTCCCTACCCTCACCCCCTATTTTCCCTACCTCATCCCCTACTTTCCCTACCCTCACCCCCTACTTTCTACCCTCACCCCAACTTTCCCTACCCTCACCCCCCAACTTTCCTACCCTCACCCCCTACTTTCCTACTAACCCTACCTCACCCCTCCTACCCTCACCCCCCAACTTTCCCCTACCCTCCCCTACCCTCACCCCAACTTTCCCCCTCCCCTATTTTCCCTCTTCCCCTACTTTCCTACCCTCATCCCCCTCTTTCTCACCATCCTCCCCCACCCCACCCCTCACCCCTCCAAAACGACATAAACCAACTGCAAATACACTTTATACACACAAGGTCAAGGTAATATTGACAATCATGTGATCGAAGAACTATGACGTCACGAGAGAAAAAATAAAACTTCTATCCGCTATCCGAAATAAATCCCTTAATAATATCAAACTTCATTCCTTAAATATATGACTAAAGCCTTGGGAATATGGTTGATGGCTCGTCTAAGAAGTAGCTATAGTCACCCTGTATGTAAGGCTAAGATTGATATCCTAATATAGATAATTTGTAGTTAACTAATTAATTTCTATAGAGTATTATGCGTATATATTTTTTTTCCCTATAAGTACACTAGAATAATTGTTCCTGGCTTACTGTTAATTAATTTCAATGTGAATTACTAAGGTTGACCTCTGCCTGTAGGATCAAGAGGCCCAAATGGTGGAGGATTATTTTTCTAATGCTTTAATAAATGTCAAAACTCTACCTCGATATTTTATTTAATTATTTTATTCATTTTATAGAAGGATTAACAAGAGTAATAATGAAAAAAATACGACAAGAATTTACCTTTATGCATCACGATTCAGCGACCATCAGAGTGTGTGAACCGAGTTATGAAACACTCAGAGGATCACAAACACGTAGGAACAACCACGGAATATATAAAGCACTCAAAGGGTCTTATAAGGGACGAGAATAGAAGGCAAGTTTTACTTAAAAAGTACTTGTGAGAGGAAGATCATGAGGCACTTGGAAATATTATGGAACACTTGGGAAGTTCATTAAGAAATTACGGAGATAAGGAAACACTTGGGAGAGATTGAGAAATATTTGGGAAGGTCAAAACGTAAAGAAAATTGAAAAGATAAACAAACATACAGGAATACCATACAACACCTTATGTCTTTCAGCATCAGGAATCACTTATATGACTACTGGGAAAAGTATTTATTTATGATACACTTATTCACATACTTACACGTCAAACTAATATGAAACGGGTAACAACCCACCCCAAAATCTACTTCCAAATATCCAACAGGAAGTAGCGAACACGAAGTAGCGAACATGAAGCAGCGAACATGAAGCAGCGAACATAAAGCAGCGAACACGAAGTAGCGAACATGAAGCAGAAAACATGAAGCAGCGAACATGAAGTAGCGAACATGAAGAGGCGAACATGAAGCAGAAAACATGAAGCAGCGAACATGAAGCAGAAAACATGAAGCAGCGAACATGAAGCAGCTAAGATGAAGCAACCATCATATCCGGGTGGCTCATGACGTCGCCTAAAGCACATAAATACTGAAGCGGCGGCCTAAAGATAACAAGGTTTAAAATTCTACCCCGTGTCAATCAGTTGGTGAAAACTTGATCTTAATTTGACAATACATGTTTGCTCCAAGTCCTGGGATTGCAAAGGGAGAAATTTTCCTACATTAATCAGGAACTGTCATCTATGTCATGTTTTTACTTAAGGTAGCAATAGACTCGAGAGACATGATTGGCTTGAAGACAATGTGCGTGAAGACAACTACGGGAAGACAACTACGGGAAGAATACAAATAGTTACTCTCGTTCCTTGCACAAAATGACATCTTAAGGTACAGTACTTCGAGTAAGATATTAACATAATGATTAGGCTATAAGAGAGAGAGAGAGAGAGCACGACAAGAAATTAAGAGAGGAGAGGGAAATATGCTGGAGAAGTTGACGTAATGGTGTAAATGCTAATGGCGACAGAAACATTCGGAGTTAAAGTAAAAAAAAAATAAATATCTAATAACATCTGAGGCAGGAAACATACCAGCTGAAATGGTAAGGTCAATCTTGATTCAACTTTACTTACTTAAGACACCAGAACTAGGGAATAAAGTTGGCGTAGAATAATAACATTAATATATAGCAAAAAAACAAACCTTAGGGATTATAGTGAACAAAAACAGAATCAAAATAGTGTCGGAGGAACAATTGAGATTTATGAAAGGAAAAGGGGACAAGAAATGTTATAGATGTTTAAAGAATGATAGAGGAAAGACCTGTTTTATTAAGATGAAAAAGGGCCCTTGTATGTTTGTTCTACAGGAGTTTGATGAAGTGAAACACGATGAAGTAATTAAAACATCAGAACAAACAACATTGACGTTAACAATAAACCTAAATCACCTCAATCACAGGTAAGACGGATAGACACATGCACAGGTAAACACATACACACACAAACACATAAAACTATCCCATCTAAAGACAAGCCTCACACTTCTGTTTGGAGATAAGGTATATCGTTAAATTCTTGCTAAGATATGTATGGAATTCTTACCACTGACGAGCTGCTGGCAGGTATAAAGAGGGATAGACTGTGTGCCGGGCGAGAGGTGACCTGTGGGGAGAAGCATAAGGGGGCAGACAGTGGGTGTTGTGGTGTTTGAACGGCGGCGGGGCGAGATGACGACAAGCGCTGAGGCAACCAGGTAGATACAAACACCCACACACACACGTCCTATTGCCTTCAGGTGAATCAGAACGATGACCAGCAAGGTATAGGTAGACTCATTATGAAAGAGAAGATATACTAAACGACAGGTGGGAGACTGGCAGGTATCGTCTGGGTCACCTGATAAGACGCAAAAAACCTTCAGACTGGATTGTATCAAGGAAGACTAAGGCGAGGGTGGTCAAGGAGGACAACGTAAGAACGAATAAAAAAAAGTAAAACAAAAAATACTATATTGACCAGAATCTAAAACACGTTAAACTATTGATGTGATAACAATCTATAAGAGCGTTGGGAAAGAAATTAATTTGAGGAAAGTGCTTTGTTTTGCGCCAGATATTATGAAGTATTTAAATTATAACTATATCGTTTCTCAAGTGTTTGTTGATGGTCAGATTACACAAGGCTCTGGTAACAAAGGCTGTCTATACAAGTATATTAGTCTCTTTAATGAAACACGTTGAGTGAGTCACTGTTGAGAGACGTAATGAAACACCTGGAGAGAGGTCACAGTCATTGTAGAGACATCTAATGATAACATTGAAAGAGGGTAGGTGGGAGGTAAAGATGAGAGGGTGAGAAGTGGGAGAGGGTGAAAGGGGAGAGAGTGGAGAGGAAGATAAGAGGTGAGGTGGGGAGTGGGGGGCATTGATGGTGTTGCCGGAAATACCAAACAAGAAACTTCGGATCAGACACATTACCTGCCTGCCACCCTCCCCACCTACCAACCCCCTTCCCCACCCAGCCCCCAATAACCGGCATCCCCCCTGACCATCACCACCAAAAAAAGGTGCAAGCAACAGGGCGTAAACACATACCACGCGCTCCCCATCATCACGTCGACAACTGTTCTTGTTCTTACCTGTCTGTCTACATCCTTATCTGTCTGTCTACTCCCTACCTGTCTGTCTACATCCTTACCTGTCTGTCCTACATCCTCACCTGTCTGTCCTACCTCACCTGTCTGTCTACTTCCTTACCTGTCTGTCTACATCCTCACCTGTCTGTCTACATCCTTACCTGTCTGTCTACCTTACCTGTCTGTCTACATCCTTACCTGTCTGTCCTACTACATCCCTCACCTGTCTGTCTACATCCTACCTGTCTGTCTACATCCTTACCTGTCTGTCTATCCTCACCTGTCTGTCTACATCTACCTGTCTGTCTCACACCTCCACCTGTCTGTCTACATCCTTACCTGTCTGTCTACATCCTCACCTGTCTGTCTACTCCTCACCTGTCTGTCTACATCCCCACCTGTCTGTCTACATCCACTATTCACCCTCACCTGCTTCTACATCCTCACCTGTCTGTCTACATCCTTACCTGTCTTCCTCCTCACCTGTCTGTTCACATCCTCACCCGTCTGTCCTCACATACCCTCTACCTTCTGTCTTCCTCACCTGTCCTACATCCTTACCTGTCTGTCTATCTGCTCCCACCTGTCTGTCACATACCCTGTCTATCTACCTGTCTGTCTACTCCCACCTGTCTGTCTACATCCCTCACCTGTCTGTCTACATCCTACCTGTCTGTCTACATCCTCACCTGTCTGTCTACATCCCTATCCTACCTGTCTGTCTCACATCCTTACCTGTCTGGGTCTGTCTGTCCTTATCTGTCCTGTCTATCCACCTATCTGTCATCCTTACCTGTCTGTCTACATCCCTCACCTGTCTGTCTACATCCTCACCTGTCTGTCTTATCCTTATCTGTCTACTCCCTACCTGTCTGTCTTCCTTACCTGTCATCTACATACCTGTCTGTCTACATCCTTACCTGTCTGTCTACAGCTCCTCCACCTGTCTGTCTACATCCTCACCTGTTCGTCCTACTATCCCCTACCTGTCTGTCTGTCTACATCCCTCACCTGTCTGTCCTCTTACTGTCTGTCTACATCCTCACCCTGTCTGTCTTCATCCTTACCTGTCTGTCTACATCCTTACCTGTCTGTCTACATCCTCACCTGTCTGTCTACATCCTTACCTGTCTGTCTACATCGTTACCTGTCTGTCTACATTCTTACCTGTCTGTCTACATCCTTACCTGTCTGTCTACATCGTTACCTGTCTGTCTACATCCTTACCTGTCTGTCTACATCCTTACCTGTCTGTCTACTCCCTTACCTGTCTGTCTACATCCTTACCTGTCTGTCTACATCCTCACCTGTCTGTCTACATTCTTACCTGTCTCTCCTCTTGTCTCTATATGTGTCTTTCAAATAGTTACTTAAACAACAATAGTCAATTCATGAACAGTCATCAACAACAACAATAATTAACGTAAACAACAACAATCTAGTTAACAACCAGCTCAACAAATATTAACGTAATCAACAACCATATTAAGCAACAACAATCCTTCCAACAACAATTAACCTGAACAACAACAACAACAATCATAACAACCTGATCATTACTTTCTTTAAGACTACAAGTATAAAAATTCATAAACTAATACTATACCACTATATTAAGTTTGCGTTATATATGGGTTATAATTAAAGGTCTCACAGTATACTCAGAGCCTTATCTTGTCCACGGTAAAGTGACCCTTAACGACTGTGTACTAACTTTATCGAAGTAAACAAAAAAATCTACGAAAATATAAACAATATGATAAAAAAAAAACGAAGGTCAAAAGCAACAACAATCGAGTGAAACAAATAAAGAAACAACAAAAATAATCGAGATAAACAAAAAAATTATGATATTATAAACAATATGACAACAAAATCAAACAAACTAATCACAAACAAAGGTCCAAAGCAACAACACACACGAACAGACCAACGATAAGAACACAGTTATACACAAAACAAGAGATGCTGCTGCTTGAGTTATAGACCTGTTGTTGTACACCTGAGGAGAGAGCACAGGCTACACCCCAGGCCAGAACCTCAAATTGACGCCAGGAAGAGCCGAGGCTTCATTCCAGGTCAAGGATTCACCTGAGATTGGAGATGGGAGCTTATTAACTGGGTCCAAAGGGGGGGGGGGAGGGTAATTTTGGGTTCACACTTCCACCCAAATCCAGATTCTAGGTTTAACCCAAGTCGGGGCTTAAGGTTTACTTCAAGGTAGGTTCCAGGGTTTTTTTTTTTTCTTGGTGGGTTCTTAGGGTACGTCTCTCGGTTGGAAGCCTAGGGTTTACTCCAGGTCAACTTCAGGTTTAACAGTCAGATCAGGGTTCAGGGTTCACCTCCACTCCGGTACAAAGGATTCATTCCTGGCAGGTGTCCAGGGTTTACCTTATGCTTGGCCTAGGGTTCACAGAGGTCACACTCAAAATTTCAAAAATCAAGGTTCACTCCAGACCTCGAGACTATAAGGTTCACTCTAGGCCTCGTGACTATAAGGTTTACCCCTGGCCTCGAGACCAAGGTTCACTCCTGGCCTCGAGGTTTACTCCAGACACGAGGACCGAGGTTCACCCCTGGTCTCGAGACTATAAGGTTCACTCCAGGGAAACAAATGAGTATTGTGCCGCCAGCCATAGTCACCCCCCACCCCTCACTCACCCCCCTCTTCACTTCTCAAGCTCTCATCATCTCACTAAACTCAAGGGTCGTGCTGCTGTGTCTCTACCTCACAAAACTCGAAAAGGTAAATGACCTCCTCCAGCTTGACTAATTAATGACCTCTCTAAGCTGGAGGGAATAACACTTCACTAAGCTGGGAAGACTCATATTCACTACTGACATTAAACGTGAAATATTAGCATCAATTACATGGCAACATTAATGACGTGTGTCTTAGTGTGACAGTGTATTGACGGTCGTAAAATAGACAGGAGATAGATGTCCTTAAAACAGACAGATTAAAAGACGCCAAGACAAAGCTACCACCAGTCAGTGTGTCAAATATCTTCTGTTCTGTTTGTGTCACGTTACCTCTTTATTTATTGACAAGTCCTTTGACACCTTGTAGTAAACCATGTGACACGTTGTAATAGACTTATGACACTTTACAATAGAAGGAAAGGGAAGGGAAGTGGATGGGAAAGGAAGGGAATGAGGAAGTGGATGGGAAGGATGAGTGGTGGGGATAAAGTGAGTGAGTGAGTGAGAGGGGGGAGGGAAAGAGAAAGAGGGAGGTAATAGAACTATATGAGAGGGAGAGAAAGAGAGGGAATGAGTAAGGAAAGAAGGAAGAAGAGTAGGGAGTGAGTGGAAGGGAGAGAGGTAGGGAAGAAAAGAAAGAAGGAGTGACGAAGTGGGAGCGAAGGGATAAGAGAGGGAGGAAGAAGAAGAGAGAGGGGGAGAGGGAGAGGAAGAAAGAAGAGGGAGAGGAAGAGGGTGAAGGAGAGAGAGAGAGAGAGAGAGAGAGAGAGAGAGAGAGAGAGAGAGAGAGTGGCAGCTACGTTCGACACAGGTACTTGCATAAATGTGATTCATCTGTCCTTCAGTGTTGATACCCCCATCACTTAACTCCCGTACAGGTGTAACGTCGTCTTATGCACCAGGTGACTTAGCCGCGTACCTGCCTCGCCTGCTGAGCACCCTTAAGTACGCGAGATTAAGCCATTTATAATTGTAATACGAAGCGGGGAGAATAATCTACTCATTTATAACATCCACACGAGCCTTTGTCCATTTCAATAGTGTGGAGGCGTTCCCAAACACCCCTCTGTCTTCGCTTTTGTTTTAGATTTCTTTATTATTATTAACGAATATTTAATTTCTCTGTTTATGTATTTTTCTCTTTATAATTATTTAGTTATGTTTTGTCTTGTAGGAGTAAACACTTAGGCCTACCTTTGTTTGTGTTCCTTAATAAATGGAAGTATACCCCTTAAGAAGTATACCCTTTAACGAGTATATCCCTTAAGTATACCTCTTAACAAGTATATCCCTTAACAAGTATATCCCTTAACAAGTATACCCC